ACCGTTTCGACATCCTGCTGTTCACTGTGTGTGCTAACCCCAGGCTACCGCTTGCATCAACTACCTACTCATTACCCCTACTTTCGTTCTCATGAACAGTTACGTACGCTACTCTCATGTTAGTCACGGTACTACACAATGTTTTTGCTTCCGTTCCTTGTCTCATTTATATGTGAGTGTTGCATTGAATGCTGTCCACTGAGGAGAAACTTCACCAGCACCATCTATATCACCACCGCCACTAATACCAGCATCAATGTTGTTGTCCTCAACTGAACTATTTCTTCAGTATTGGAGCTGATACGCCTACTATACAATCATTAAGAAATATGTAGACTGATGAAAGAGAGACAAATATAGGTTTTAAGCGCCCGAAACAAACTTTTCCAGGGAAATCGCCTGTTCTTTTGTTGGGTTATTTTTTAGTACTCTTTGTGTCGACCGGGATTCACGATGAATTGAACTTGTATTTGCAGCCGACGGATATTGTGTTGCCTGCCCGAAAACACTGCACACCACGATACGTTTCGAGCTAATTTGATTTCATCAGATCTCGAACCCGGGAGCACTGGAATATTAGCCGAAACCTCCACCGGCCCAGGACGGGCATTAACCGTTGTACCATGTGTTGCTCGTCGTGACCCGATGGACAAAGGCGTATAGGCTTTGGCTAATATTCCAATGGTCTCGGGTTGAAAGCCTGTTATCTCCATCTGCGGATATCCAATGAGGTTGAAACGTGTCACCGCATGCAGTTTTTTCGCACGAGCAACGCCAATAGTTACATCCGTTTGTCCTTTGTTACAGCTATACGATGCAGATAACCTATTATCATAAGCGCATCAGTATAACGGTATCCCTGCGGTTCATTACGTTGTCCAACTTAACCTAATCTAACGCACAGGCAGTTCGGTATCTTAGGTACTCCACACAAGTAGTTAGAGGCTGCTAATGCTGTCTGCTAATGTCCTTAAATCTTTTGTGTCTAGTAAATAAATAAATAAATGGTATATTCCTCGGTGATTCGAGGTGCAGTCCAACTATGTGGTCTGATCAATGTGTACAACAGGATCGCAAAAAATAATCAATTTTTCACGCTTTTTACAGTGGATCCAAAACAGGTACTAAACTAATTGGCAGAATTAAGGCATTAAGGAAATTAAAAACCAGGAACAATAAAGCATGCAGATTTAAACAGATGTCCAGTTAAAGTAATACGACCACTCGTGGAACCATCCCCAGGGGACCTGTTTCCATGCAAGGTATTCCCTCAAAAGCTTTCGCCCGCACTTCCATGCAATAACTGGCCGTGTGCCGGTGTGGCATAGTAGCTTATCATCCATCACCTGTTTATCATATATTCTGTTCTTTTTAGAGCTGCTTTTGTACACGTATTATGGGCCATGAAGCCTCAGCCCAGTCCATCATGCGGATCATTCTGTTATGGTACTTATTTACGCCAGTCTGTTGGTGGTAATTTGCCTTGCATAGGTAAAGTCTTTTATAATCTGGAAGCTATAATCCTAACCTGCAGTACGACCTACCGAAACCCCCCAGTTTTCTCATCATCTGCTACATTTTTCGCTATGTTTACCGAATGCTTAACTCTGCCGGTATAGTGCTGAATTCTGTGTCCACGACATGGCTCACTAATTGAAGCTGAAGAAATTAAAGGCCCGATCGATTAGGGCTATCCCATTGGAACACGGATCAAACATACCTGATTGGAAACCTAAGTCTTCCATTATTATGCGCTTTGGTTTTGACGTTTGATAATGCTCTGCTCATTGACTAGTTGCCACGGCGCACTGTGTTTAGTTATCCGCTCACATGACCAATCATGGCCTGCGTATCCGGTCGATCCATTATCTTCTATGTATGGTCGTTCGTTCCAGGCGGCCACGGAACCCTCATTATGAGCCACTCAGTGTCGACTACACATAACGGCATTTCTTGTTTGGCAACCAGTGAACTCAAGCGCAACTTGCCCGGGCTTATGAAATCATCCTGCCTAGTATACACCTGTGCGCACCTCTTCGAGGTCCCCAACCAATGCATCCATGTTGTGACTTGGAAACTTTGAGCAACATGTCAGTGCACTTCTCCAATGTCTTTCAAACGAGAAAGTATTCATTAGGTTAGCATAAATCGTAGTCAGTTATTATGCAATAAGGGTGATTTTATGTCCTCCTTGTATTGTGACACCATCCACATGCAAGAAATTAATGCCCTCTCTTAGCTGCGAGCTCCATAATGCCTAGACATGCGTCCAACTAATGGCGTTCAATTTGTGGAACACCCTAGCTGCTTGGCTTGAAATGCACTGTTACGTTTGTTTCACTTTAACGCCAAATACACAGCTGCTGATTACTTCACCAGGACCCTATCCAAAATTCATTCAGAATGGGGGTGGCTAAAAGTCAATCAGCGGAGCCACTTATGCGGACGATTATACTTGGTTCGACTAATGACAGATTCTTTTCTGTTTGCTTCAGATCGGACACCTGAGTGGGTGACGTGATGCATCCCTTTCATCCCGATCGGCCAACTGCATCACATCTGGAGTATTTGGCAACTATCATTCGCCACTATACAGTCTCTATCCCCAATGTGGCCTAAAATGTTTCGTGCCACACGACTGAATACTCTCGAATAGATTTTTCAATTAGTTGAGTAGGTTTCATAACTCCAGCTCTCACCTCTGTTCTCTGCTTCAACAAGAGCTGATATTAAATACATTATTTCAGGTGTACAATCTGTGATACCCTGATCCGCAGCAAATGTTTCAGAACAATCACCGAATAATACCTGGTATAATTATGCGGTCTCAACTAACATGTTCTCAAACTGTAACTGTTGATTATGATAAACGCCGGTTTCCGGAGATTTGCTGGACAGAAACCCATGTATTGGAGAGGTTCGGTATTGCTCTCTCCTATCCATGCTCTCCACGACGGATGCTTTCGTCCCTTTTTAGACGGTTCCTGTACAAATGGCCTGAGTTGGTAGTGGAACTCCACATACGGTGGTTGGTAGCTATCCTCATGATCACAAGGCCATTGAGCTCCACGAGCAGAGGTTAACACAGCCCTTTGGAAGTTGATTGTGGCGTTTTGGAGTACACGCTGTCTTGGATTGTGACACGCACTCTCAATTGTGGCCACGGCTGACTTTGAAGTCAGCGTGTCGTTCCGTTCACTGGGACCGTATCGGAAATAGAGGGTTTACGTACTGCACTCTTCCATCCCTGCCCCCACGACCTTCGGTTTCGCTTTTGTTTAGACTCAGCAGGTATAGACAGCCTGAGTTGGAAGTGGAACTTGGCACTAAGTGCTTGGCAACTAAATTAACTGTGGTGCTGATAGCATGGAACGCATCTACAGACTGAAACCTAGCTTGCCATAGCTAGTTCTCTAATATGCCAACAGTATGCAATCAGAAAGAAAAGACGGATTTATATGATGAAGCAAACAGATGGATTGCCGTAAACGAATGGGGTAGATGATTGTACGTCTTCACATCCCCACGTCCATATTGATTGGTTACTGTTTGGTTGCGCTGGAGTGAGTTTGTTCAACTGAATCAAAGGACTATTCTCATGAATTCAGAAACTTTCTTAGTTGTGGAACCGGTCTACTTATAAATATTGAGGCTTTCTGCAGATTAGTAATGGTCATTTTCGCTGAGATTGCTTTTTGAATAAACCGTTTGCCCCTGAAGGACCAAGTTCTGTGACACCAATCCGGTCTAGTACCTCCGTATTCTATCTAAACACTCGTCATGCATTGGCCGCGCGTAACTTATCAAAAACAAACTTTTAAATATGGTGGAAACTACAACTGCTGTCTTGTATCCACGAGTTCTGTGGCTCCAGAAGGGGATTTCCTACGTCCTAACGGCTTAACTGCCCACCATGACGACCGTCCTACCCTGTGGAAACTGGACGTACCGCCGACAACCTAGAGATCCCAGACAATTTCATCCCATTGCTCATCCTTACTTGCTGAGCGTCGGCGGCGTTGGGTGTCACTAGTTTGTTCATAAAGACAAGATGGATAATGGTGTATTCGACGATAGGAATCAGACTAGTTATTCTGGGTAACAAATAATCTTCCTTAAGCCGCGTTGGCTTGGAAACGCGCTTCATGTGCTCGCTCGCCACCTTCCCGGAAAGATCGTTGTGTTGTTTACGAATGTAAGATGATGCAGGGTTCGAGCGGGGAAAGTCGACTTATTTGTGACTAATAAAGTCGCTGATGATTAAACTGTGTGCTATTGTTCTGTCTCGTCTTACAGGCTGAAGTCCACTACATCTACCCTGCGCTTATCGCAAGATGTGATAGGCATGGTTTGTGACCGATAGTCATGGAGCGTTTGTTCAGTCACTCAACCGGACTGCCTGCTTTACATATGCTTAGTATTGAGTTAGCTGTGGGACAGGGTTGATTATGACCCAGGAGAGTGAAAGCGCCAAGGATGCCGCCTCACGGTTGCTTACTTTCCTTTACATAATAACCGGCTATTGTTTCCGTGTGTTATTGATGAAATGCAGGCACTCTGCTGCTGAGTGTTGGCTTATGATATTTAGATTTTACGGCATGATACTCTTCCGCTCACTTATTGGTTCTCATCACAAATGCTTTTATGGTCAGATCGTAACAAAGCATCGGTTCTACTTATTCAGATAGGGGTGCTGGTGACAAGTCACGAATTCTGAGCTCAGATTTATCTTTAAATCCATGTTGTTTATGTGAGGATGCGACCAGTTTACATATAAGCGGCTTCCTTTTTACCATGACCAAATATGCTAGTAGTTAGTTTTGGATATTCCGTCAAACCTGTGTTTTTTGTGTCCCAAACTGTGGGTCTAAATTTTTCATCCCCGATCAGGTGGAGTTCACTAACTCCTACTATGTTTGAAGTGAACTTGAACATCTAGGTTTCTCTCACTCTAAAGATTCTATTTTAACCCCATCCATCTTTTTCAATCGGAACAAAAGGATTTCTGCCTGTTTTTGGACCATCCTACATCAATCTTTATGGATCACCGAGAGAATTTACCGACATGCCGAACAAGTACGATGCCATGAACTCGGGAAAACTAGAAGGCGCCTCCTATCGCGGTCGTATCTTGGTCGAATTGCGAACCGAACTTTTGGATGAGCCAACGACTGACGAAATCCGGTCTATCGACGCGGACACCGTGGCACGAATCCAGGTTCGTCATAACATAATGGTAAACTGTTGCTTCTCATGATCAGTGGCTTGCTTTGTTCTTTTACCGAGCCCGTTGGTTCAGCATGTGCTCGAACTACCGCTCAATGACTGAAGTACTGATATTCTGAAATCCTTGTGTGCTTATTACCTTGAAAGTGTTTCCAAACTTATGCGGATCACTTTCTTTATTTCCAGCCATTAAACTCATTGTCGTAACTATAATTAGGCAACAACCATGTACCGTTAGTCAAGAGGCGTATCTGTTCGATTGGATCCGTTTTATCGCTCTCCAGTTTGGTTCTCCGTCGAACAGTTGCACTACTTCAAGTGCTTCTATAACCTGAAGTGGAAGCGGTCGGATCCGCAAGTTCCAGTCTAATTTTTAGCCTGTTTTACTGAACTTGCGGTCTCAGTTACATTAAACGCGTTAGCAAAGGTATCCGATCCTTGAAGCTCAGCTTCAAATAGCCTTAGGATATTTTTTAATTCCTTGGTAGGCAGTAATAATCTAGCTAACGCGCTGGTAATATCATCGAGACTGTGGTGGAGTGTGTGTTCGGAAGACACTCATACATCACTCGTTAGCTAATGCGACTCAGTGTACTGACAGGGTGAATCCTTTTTTCCAGTGAGTTACCAAATACACTCACGCGCCTTCTTCTTCTTCTTCTTCTGATAGACCCGCGCTTTTCGTTTTACGAAATCTGTGAAGCTATGCGATTTCTTACCTACGGTTCACATCAGGTTATATATATATATATTATCCGTAGCTCTGAAAGTCACTCTGAACATGGACCAAACCGAAATTTCAACAAATGCCGTAAAAATCCCGGAGCGTAATTTACTTGTGGACCCTATTACTCAGAGCGCAATCGTATTGTAGCAATACGGAAGGGAAACGGCAAGAAGAGAATCAACTGCTACCCTGTAGTTAACGCCCATGCGGTTTCATTCTAGCAAGTCTAAGTAAAGAACCGGCAATCGCCGAAGTGATATCGTCAACAAAATTTGGGGTCATTTTGCAGTTGATAAATAACATCTGTTTAATAGTGGCGCTGTGCCGCAATCCACAACCCATTCGCCACTCCAGGGAATACTCTGTTAAAATAAAAATAAAAAGCAACTAACTCGTGAAGTACAAAATAGCAGAACAATGTCGGTCCAAGCAGAAGGGAGACATCAAGGCTTGAGCACAAGAGTTATTCGAAAGACGTGGCGGACCATCGCTTTTTTAAGAACAGATGGATGAAGAAGTTGCTGGCTTTTAATGGACGAGAACTGTGACCCTGTTATAGGGAGAACCACAAGGGTGAATAATCTTCTCTATGCTTGTATTTCCTCGAAGAATCCAACCTCCGTAAGTACGGACATTGATCCGCCTTATCGACTACCACAATAGAACGATGTCAAGCAAATTTAATGTTATCGTAGGAAGCAAAGCGATCCGGTATTCGCAAACGGGCTGAAGGGTCAACGTAAGATCAGGAGGTAGGATCAACAATCACTACAGTAGAACAAGAAGAATCTCATACGTCACAGCAAGTTTTCTGCAGACAATAACAGTCACACAAGTCGCATCGAGCACAATAGTAAACAGTAAAGCACGCGAAAATACAGTTACTAAAATCAGGGGGCAATATAACGTATGAGGCCTTTTTAACATATTTCCTAGAGTCAATGGGCAGCCAACCAGCTGAACAACTAAACCCGGCTACAGAGGTTTCGAATTATTTCGACTATTCTGACCTGGACATGGATTAATATGATATTGCAATTTCGAATTTATCTGACTCACTGCGTTCCGTTGGTTATTTCCACTCTGAAACATCAAACTCGATGTACTCGACCTCATCACCAGGAAAAGTTCACGAATGTTAGAAGGAAATGGTCCTATAACAGTGTCCACAGTGATTACGCTACGCATAAAATATGCCAACTTTCTGCGTGAAATATCAGGGGGTTTAACTGAGCTGGACAATGCTCTATCTTAACGTTTCCCGCGTTGTTGAACACTTGTCGCCTAGCACCGCCTGGCTTCCATTCAACAAACCCCGCCTTCGTGTGTCACACAACTCACCATCATTCTCATCCTCATCCTCCTCCTCCTCCTTCTCCTCTTCATCATCATCATCATCATCACCATCATCATCATCATACATGTTAGCTGCAAGTGGAAAACACCTCAATTGTTGTGCCGCAATTCAAAGGATAAAAAGAAGCAAAATCAACAGAGGCTCGCCGGCTGAGTCCCCAGGAACGGATGAACATCGTTCCGGAGAGCTAACAGCCAGCTATCGTGCTTCAAAACGAGTTATACTATGCCCAGCGAATGAGAGCGTGATTGGAGGGGGAGGCTAAGCAGGAGGGGGATGGACAAAGGAACTGACAACACAAAGGCCATTGGAGCCGGCTCCTAGCTATATCAGCAATTGTGTCCAACCAAACTTGTTCGCCGTCCTTAGGACCCCAGCCAGACAGTCGGGATGCACCAACCGACGCCAGTTTCGAAGTGAGGGTTTTCATTCCTCTCGGCCAAGTCATTGTTTGGCCTCCCCCCCTCCTCTTCCAACCGCACCCACAACGCAAAAACAACGCACTTCGTAGGAGTCGGTGTGCTGGCATGCGCAACACGTCGCCCAGCCATCGGAGCCTGGCGCGTGATATAATGGTGCTGAGCAGTTCACTCGCTCTTCATGCACCAAATACGCGGCGCCGAACACGCTCATTACTCACGCGGTGCTTCCACCAGACATGAACTAAGCTGCGAAGGCAGGGATGATCGAATGTAACGAGCCCCTTTATGTCTGCCGACCTGATGGACCAGGCTTCACAACCATATAGGAGAGTTGAACGGACGACTTCGTTATAAACTCTGCCCTTCAGGTCGACATTGATGTCGCGTCTGCGCCACAGCTGGCGCAGATTGGCAAAAGCACCTCGAGCTTTTGTTATACGTTTGGTAATTCCATCTTCGATCTCACGAATGCTAATATAGCTGCCATGTACTTGAATTCCTGGATGACTTCTAGCCGATCACCACCAAGGGTCAGCGCAGGGATGGGTCCTTATTAATCTTAGAGAATAACTTTACATTTCGATGGAGCAAAGCATAGCCCAAAACGATTGACAGCCTGTGCTAACCGGTTCAGTGCAGTCTGGCACGTTTGGGCGTTGGCACATATGAGAGCAATGTCGTCCGCATACTCTAAGTCAAGAAGTCCATCACCAGGAAGTAACTCCACACCTTCTACTTCGTGTCAAGTGAATGCTGTTTCCATGACTCCATCAACAGCGAAGTTAAAGAGGAAAGGTAACAGCAGGCAACTTTGTCTCACACCGCTGGAGATACTGAAGGGCGGAGACCGTTTGCCATAAACCCTCTTTCTGCCCGAACTATGCGCGTACAGCGCTTTGATAATGTTTACATATTTATTAGGCACACCTTTTCTGAGTAGACAGCCCCAAAGGGCACATCAGTCAACCGAATCGAAGGCACCTATGATGTCGAGAAATACGACGACGGCGGGTCACCAATAGACATGGCGGTGCTCCAACGATTGACGCAAAATGAAGATGTGGTCGATGCAGTCTCGATTTCGACGAAACCCGGCTGGCTCTTCGGGGATTCGGCCTCCGCGAGCGCCAGTCTGTGGAGAATGACAGGCGCAAGCAATTTAAAGGCAATGAAGATCAGACTGATACCTCTATGGTTGCCGCATTCCGAACGGGAGCCTCGCTTGTACGTTGGGACTATGACGGAGAGGCTCCAGTCTGTCGGGACAGTTTCCTGCTTCCAGAATTCCATTAGCAACTCGTGTCGATCATCTACAAGTGCAGATTCCCCGAAGTTGTAGAGAGCTGTGGGAATTCTATCTGCCCTTGCGGCCTTATGCAATTTCAAGAGTCTGATCTCATGTTCGACTTTTGCGCGTGAGCGCGGATTTAAGAAGACGGCCCATGGAGAAGTACAATCAATGCCCGAAAGAGAAGGCTTTAACTCAGATTGGTTAAACTGCCTTGCAAAGTGTTCGGCCCAACGACCCAAGCGATTTGACAGCCTGTGGATCGGCTGTCCACTGTCGTCGCGTATTGTCTCGCTAACAACAGATCTCCTGCTGCCTATTTCTTGTATCAGACGGAATAACTTACGATGATTACCAACGGCGGCGGCTGTTTCTATTTCCGATGTACGATGAGACCACCAGGCTTCGCGGTCTCTCATCAGGCTAACACGCAGTTTTGCCCTGAGATTTTTGCGAGTCTCATTGCATTTGCTTCCAGTCGGAATACGTCGACGAGCATCCATAACTTCCAAAGACTTTGTAGAGACCCAATGTTTAGGTTGGCTATTCGATTTGCCACATGAAGACATACCTGCTGATAGTAACGTTTAACGAATATGCGACCAGTGATCGTCGACGGTATTCAGTAGACGCTTACTCATCCTAGATGTCAGTGTAGTTTGATACGCATACAGAACACCTGGCTTCGCCAGCTGGCTGGCCGAAACGCACCCGCAGGTCGGCACTCACGTGAGTGTGATCGGAGTCCACGTTGGTGCGCCAAATCGAGCGACAGTTTTGTACACAGCCACTCCAGCAGTAACTTATCACAATGTGAGCGTCCATGGCTGGCCCTAGGCTGGTAGGCGCGAAGTCACTCTTCTGCGGGTGCTATGTCGAAAGTTAGTGTTCGCGAGAAAGAGACGAACACCTTCACACAGGTGTAGGAACCGCTCCCCATTATCATTACGGGAGCCTACACTGGGTTGGCCGCCCAGATGCAGCTCATCAGAGGACAACTTTCCGATTTGTGCGTTTAGATCACCAGAAAGCACCATAGTATCTGTGCTTCTTCTGTAACGAAGAAGCTCGTTAAGTTGGTGATAGGAAGCACCTACCACCGAATCAGGACTGCAGTTTGTGGGGGCGTAAGACGCAATGACAAACAGGCACCGTTTGTCCCCGCGCGACTTGGTAGCCTGGAACGAGGCAGCCAACCTAACTGCGCACATCCGGCTGTTGACAAGGATCCAGTCGATCAGGGCAGCTTCAGCCCGGGGACTCAAAACGATGCTGACGCCAGCTTGAACTTCATCTAAAGTTGCGTCATCGCCAGACAGGCGCAATGAGGATGTGCCACCAATGTCGCATGTGGGGGATCGCAGAGTAAGCACGGAGCTCGAATATTGCAGGCAGTTTTCTGATAAACAGCAAATATCGATTGAAGGGTCTCGAGCGTTCGGGCAAGTCTGCCAGTAGCAAAGTGCGCAGGTTGTGGCATGCCAGTCCTAGCGAGGATCGAGGATTCCAAAGGGAAACGGATGCTTTGACGTCGTCCGCTTGGTTGAACATGGACTTGTCGACTTGATGGCATCGATGCCCTGCGATTGCGCATGAGCCGAAACTAGAAAACAAGCAACTATTGATGCAAGATGGGCTAGGGCCAAGAATTAGGGGATTGAAAACGGAGGGATGAAAGTGAAGTTGGAACGGGACGCTAAGGATGAAAAACCGCAAGGGGGGAATAAAAGGCGGGAAGGCCTGAGCAGAAGCATCCAAACCCCTATCCACCCTGCTCGATGCAGCAGATAAGGCGCCATTTATTATCCACTGCGACGGCTGGAGCATCAAGAAATTGTTAGAAGGAAAGGTCACGGTGTATTGCGTGAGCAGGATACTGTCAGGTTGCCCAGGCTTAGACAGGAGAACGATTAGGGTTCTCAATCACTCTTTGGTTCAAAAAACCTTACCGCAAGGCAGCGGGGTTTTGGCACTGGACTACAGAGAGTTCGTTTTATGGAGTAAGGAGCCACTCTCACTCCAACCCCCAACCTGGAGGGCCAGGAGAGTGAGTTTGTCTGACCTCTAACCATTGATCAATCTGCTATGAGTGGCTGTAAGGTGCAAAAAAGCACCACCCAGCATAGCTCAGTGGATCAGTGAGGCACACGAACCATCGCACCACGTTAAGGTCCAGTCTCATCGCAATGGGTGTCACATACCTGCGTGCTGTTCAATGGTAGGCAGCTCGTATCGCCAATTATTTGTTGTATTCAATACGGCTTCGCTTTAAGCGACAACTAATCAGATCACACGCCCATTGTTCGTGGCTGGCATTCGATGCTGTATATTAAACAGTCGTATGTTCTTCTGCGTTCGCGCCCACGTGGTGCGATGGTAGCCGGTAGCTTATGGAAAGGTAGCTAATGAACTACTGCTCACGCAATCTGAGCATAAATGCGTTATTCGAATAGATCTATACAGTTGCCTAGGCCTAGCATGAATGAAGCTCAGCGCGGTTCCACGTATGTGGAGAACAGCCAATGGTAATTGAAAAGAGCGCACATGTCAACGAAAGTAAGATAACAACACTAGATGGTGGCAGGTCAACTGGGTTAATGGAATCAGCGCAGAAATTGACAATAATTGCGCAGATAGGGTGGACTTTCAAACATCACTGGAGCCTAGCATGACCGAAGCCCAACGTGGTCCAGGGCGAAGCAGTCGTTGGTTGGGCCGAAACCCCCCTGAACAACCAGCGACCGCGGGTCTCTGAACTCAAGATAAGGGCATAAAATTGGCAACAACGACTATCTCGTAAAAGGGCTCAAATTTATGCACTGCAGAAAATGTACATACTAACCATGAATAACAAGCCCATATTTCCTTTAGCCCCCCGGAAGACTACTCGGTAAGCCGGACTTTTTCATTGTTCACATGTAGTACTTGGCTCGCCGCAATTCGGTGGCTTGCACTCACAAACCAAGTTCGAGTGAGCAACATTTTGAGTCCAAGGACTCTACGCGTAAAATTACCTTTTGGCTCGCAATAAAATTCTTGTTCCATTGTTTTCGTTCGCTTACAAGTGACTATCAATCCGAATGGCATATAGGCTGCTAAAGGTATTGTCCTACATGTGCCGAATTAAAGGGTTGTAAGTTTTCGTCAGGCCAACTCTTGACAATACGGCGTCAACTGAAGTCAAGTCGGTCGTTTCATCTCGCGCCAATCAACCCTTGTGTTGTTCCAGGATTGTCTGCTCACAACGCGCAGTTGTTACCACCAACGATATCCTATCTTTGTGTCAACTGAAAAATCTCATGGAGAGTGAATATGGGGAACATTTTCGTTTGACAGAAATGCTGTGTTCCTTTGGCAGTAACCGACAGCTTGATTCAGCCCTAGTAGGCTTCGACTCAACTAACACTCCAAACACGAGGTCAACGGTCTCGATAAAAATATGATTCATTGGAGTACCGAGATGTGTCGTTAACTGCAGTCAAGACTACTCCCATCATGTTGATAAACCGAAGAATTCGACAAACATTCTTTGCTTCCAAAGATTACAATTGCCGTTTAAGCACTTTCATTGACTAATTGCTAGTCAGTTGGTTTCCGGTTGTGGCATTTTCCGGTTCTGCTGTAGTTTTTAGAAAAATTCGTCGTATATACACTCAGTTGGTCAATATTTCCGAAAAAATACCGGACGGCTGTTTCGTCCTATTACGGCTCCTCAGTTATGCACATCCACCGGATCGTTCTGGATTCCAGTCCATGTGCATACTCCTTCAAGCCAGCCATACAAGACACTAAGCGGTGGGTGACGGCAGCAGGCTGCCATGACTGGCTACTAATTACAATAGAGATTGGTGCATTTCCAACTGCCATGCCTGTTGTGGATGTACTGGGCTGGCTTCTGATCTACGACTTCGTTTACAATTCGCCACCAGTCGAGGTGGCAGATAAACTGCTGAAGCGATTTCTACTTATTAGAGTGCCGAATGGGGGCGGTGTCCTTCTGAGAGTTTTCGTTGCATCAGCTTATACAGACGGTCACCAGATGCTCTGAGTGGTCCTAGGTAACCACTTTGTCTTATAGAGACTCATCAGTTATCCACATCCACCGGATCTTGCTGGACTTGAACGATCTCCAAGGACCTGCTCAACACTGCCATACGTAGGGAGCGATAAGCAAAATTACCGGTGCTTCTGTGTTAACCTCCATATTCACGCAAAGTAAATTTATACCTCGCCACACCACAATAAAAGTTTTCCTCATTATGTTTCAGAAGTGTCTTCGTCGTCGGAAATACCGACTCTTTGGAACATTCATTTCTGCCACGCAAATTCCCGGCGAGAAAAGCTCGCCCATCGAGTTTGAGGTTAGTGTGGGCAATCACGGAAACAAACTGGATGATTCGGTGCCTCCTTGTGTCTCGACCACCCCACCCACAAACCCCATTTACGATGGGTCATTTTACAGCTACCTACCCTGGGGTGACAACAAGCCATGCACCGTGGTCGACTCTCAATGGGAGGATATTTCGTATCGCCTGTTCGCCAAAAATATGCTAAATCGAATCGCACAAAACTTGGTAAGTGGCCGCGACCAAATACCAATTGCTTTTATTCTATTCTAAGACCACGGTGTAAGTTCTGTCTGGATACGGCTGCTAATCCACGCATTGTTCCCTCTCTGATTGCTGGATTCTGGGACTTCGCAGCCGCCTACATTACCACTTGTTACCACTTGGAATGTTGGAAATCTCCTGTGATTTCGCTATCAGTAACTAGTGTGTTCCGAAGGTAAACACGTCTTTTAATCATCATTCTTTAAACGTGTATGCTCGTATGCGGAAGCACGGAAAAAATATTTCTAACCTGCTTACTACTCGACGATATACGTGCCTCTGTTGATGGTCAAGTCCTGGAACTTCTGGTCCTCGGTTACTTCGCTCAACTGTATTATAATCCATGTAACGAACTGCAGCGAATACTGCTGTTTGGACTCGCGTCGTCAGCCGGATACTAAAAGTAGCCAACTTGATAATAGCGGTTTCTGAAAATTGGACCAAAAACTCCGAAACTAAGCAATCGAATTCACGCGCATCACTAACTTCATGACTGCATCTTATCCGACACTTTGTCTGATTGTTGGTACGGACACTTCCATATAGGAAAATTACCCTACTTTACCCTATTAAGCTTTTCGACGAGTTCCTTCATGCTCCTTTGATATGTTATTGACTGATCACATTCAGGGTTTCATCCAATCAGGTGCGTTATTAGGAGGCAGTGCACACTGAAGTAACCGGATTGCAAACATGCTGTGGGTACGACCTAGTCACCTTTGCCGCTCGAGGTAAACACGCCTCAATAAGTTACCAGAGTGCCAGTTACCTTATACAAAATGACGGATTGTAATAACTAAATAAATCGTTTGTCATCTTGAACCAATCGATAGCGCACGGTTTCAGCAGGGTTTGAAAACATTCAGCTGGTGTTTTTGGTTGGCAACCTTGCACTTTTGACCCAAAAGCATCCTCAGGCCGAGTGAACTGAAATAAGTCCTCTATTCCTTGACAGTGTGGAAGTATGTTACTGCCTTGGAAGAGAGCAACAAGTATGTATTTGCGAATTTGATACATGCTTAAACATCGATAGTTATAGTATTCTACCGTAGGTCATATCAGCCAAGATAAGATTGGAGGAGCATTGTTTCAGCATGTGGAGTTGGTATGTATTCAAGCATTTCTGTACATTGCAGATTTGTCTAATTGTAGGGTAAGGTCATGTAATTATTCCATCTCAATTGTGTTATGGAATGGAAGCAGTTGTGTATCCTAAGTAGGAGTCTTAGAAGTTCCTCATATTTATATAAAGATCATGCACTAATACATCTTACTGTGAAGATGAAAGGGGCATACCGTAGTTTGCAGCGCTACTAGGAACTCTATTCATCATTGTCTACACAGCATCTGAGTCTAAACCCAAAGAAGACTCTGTCTTCCGCGATCGTCCACGATAACCGCCACTCCGGACGAAGTTGTAGGTGGTATGAGTGATTCATCCACTATCATTCTTATCTCAAACTTGAAGGGAACAGTTACTGTTGGAATACCTGACACACCTGACTTGTAACGATGAACTAATAGAACAGTGTTCCAAGGACCATTACGCACTCCACAGGTAGTAAAGTTGAATGAGTCTCTTCAAGCACACTGTGTGGCATTCGGCACTGCAGAAGCAGATGCGGTTCATCGAATCTACGGTAGCCTTCAGGCCAATGAGAATTATGGTGCTAAACTACTTGTGGGAGTCATGCTCATTATGCAGCGCCGTGGGCGGCAGTCCTCACCAAACTCGGAGTAACTGCGCTTGGTCGAAAATAGATGTAGTATCCCGAAACCTAACACCGCCTCAGCCGTGACAACGTGTAAGGAAAGGTTTGCAGCCACTATAGAGACGCGCGCAAACAGCACTAGAACGCTGGATTTCGGGGCAATTGCTGAGTGTTTACGTCGAACTACAGCAGATACGTCTCCATTTCGGATGCAACCACATTGGCATCACTGATCGAGGTGAAAGGCCAAATAAGGCAATACGAACTGGTATGGAACAAATGTTGCCTAAGCGGCTTAATGGTATAGAGATGACGACTTCTTCCGGTGATTTACATATCCCTGGCTTTATTGGCAATAAGCTATTACCATCTGAAGAATAGATGCAGGTACGAAAGTGCTCGTAGACTGCAGTAAATGCAGTAGCGGTAGCGTGCTTTAGGTGACGTCCTAGTGATCTACCTGATCGAAATTCACCTTAAAGCAAATTGTTTTCCAGGGTGAGATTGTACCTCGCAGCCGATTTACACTATGAGTATTCCGAGCAAGTCAGCTATGGGTTACCCCATTGTTGTGACAGGCGTTGACCGCGTCGCTGCATGGTGTATTCGAGAACGCATCTGTCGGATGCGTCTATGCTGGGAAGTCTACAGGTTAGATACAAGTTGACGACGGCAATCTTTGCTCTTGCATCCTTGCTGAGACAGTGAGCAAATAACAAAATGACAAGAATCACATCGCCTATCTTGGACCACCGACCAATTGTCAGACCTGTGCTGTCTGTGCTTTATCTATCGTTTCAACCAGCACGGCCCCCACGACATACCGTCCGTACTCACTGCCAAATAAACCTTCGTGCGCTCTGCTTTAGTTTGCTCCGAACGAACGATAGTGCGCATCCCGCACTGCGATCGAAGCTATTGATCTCTCTACGGGCCCATGTGCTCCCTCTGTGCCCATTTCTCGACGGACTGATTCTGTTGCAGGACTGCCATACATGCGACCGAAGGGTAGAGCAATGGCAATGACTTCGCGCGCGATTGTGTGCGCCCCAAACACAGTCCCATTCGTGCGCGCTTTTGCTGTCCGACACAACTTACCGGTTGGATAGGCGAACAAACGTTACGGATACAGGAGTTTCGTATATACGCACTAAATGTGTCATTTAATGGTATGAGTCATGACCGCATTACTGCGATCAGTCGAAACATATCGCACACACTGTAGTACAACATCTGAAAACTCACCCTTCCTGTGTGCACAAAATCCCACTCTTGACTTCACTCGAATCGACCAACTTCGAATGACTCAACTCTGATCCAGTGGAAAAGGTGCCGTTTGAAAGTTGCCAAAGAGACGTGAATCATAAGCGAATGTATACGATGCACGTTTAGATAATATGCTTGTGGCAGTAGTTGACATAGGGAACTACCACACTGTCATCAAAATTCGGTTACCACATCAAACCTATGAGCAATTTGAAATATTTTCTTAACGACCCCGCAAATGATGTTGAAGATTATTAAGTGCGCTGACAGAGTCCACACCATGATGAACTATGCGACTCTACCTCAAAGTTCAGAAGTATGGTACAGATAAGAAGCAAATCCACATAATGTGTCGGGCAGTGCTAAGGGTATCCGGTCGGAGTGAACGGAGGGACCGGTGGGTCGAATCAGACACCCAATTGGGGACAGACACAACGGACTCGGTACTTAGTCGCAAGAGGCATAATCGTCCACCTGCATGGTTCCGTTGGTTGGCTAAGGTTTGATAGCACTTCGGTGAGTTTTCCTGTTGTTTGTTCAACAGAACCAACGAAACAATCTCACTGACCCAAGAACCACATTATTCATACATATGAAGGAACATTTTACTTGGAAGCAAGTTGCGTCTTAAACGTACCATCGTTTTCCCTCATTCGATTTTGTCGAATAAATCGGTGATTACTACTCGCAGGCTGTGATCTTTTCGACACCCTCGCTATGGCTCATGGCCCAGTTACTTTTCTTGTCTGGTCGGCTATAATAACCGTGGTAGGAATTCTTTAGAATCTGCTAGGTCCTTATTAGGTCCGCACGTAGATGCCGATACTGGCTGCTGCGCAATCTTAGTGTCCTCAGCCCAAATTTATATAGAATGTGGAACAGTACTTTGAGGTACTTGGGAGGTTTTCACTGTGGACCCACAGTCTCGTGTTATGATGTGGTAGTTCTTTTTCAGCATGTGCTTGGTCATTATCAGGTCGCCATGTAGGTTCCGATACTAACCATCGGAACTTAAACAAATCCTTGTTGCCTTTTGTTCGTGCTATATAAATTGTACAGACGTGTATTTTCGGATCTATGGTGGCCGTTTAGATAGACTGACGCGTAGCGCTGCACACTTGAGCATGTGCTTTGCACTTTCGTGGTTCAATATACTGTTACAGGACTGGACCAACACACCTCCGGTTCTTGCTATCATCGAACAACCACTGGAAGTGGTGGATCGGTTCAGTTACTTAGTAGCTGTGTCACCTCTGGTGGAAGCTAATTCACGTATCAGCAAGGCCAGTGCGGCTTTCTAGAGGCTCAAATATCTATGGAGATAGTGGGATATCAGCCCGACTGTGATAGGCAGGGTGTATAACGCTGCAGTAAGGCCGGTCTTACGGTATGGATCAAAGACCTGCCCAGTTCGCGGCGAAGACACTAAATGCTTGGTGGTGTTTGACCACCGGTGTTTCGGAGGATTGTTCACGTCTGGTGGGAACACCGAGTGGGCACTGCTGAGGTCCGCCAACTGATTTTGTTAGGAAGCATCCTGGTACCTCACTCGAGTGTTTAATGAATCTCAATCGCTTACTTGGGGTAGGCCATGTCCTCCGTATACCCGTTAACCGGCTTCCTCGGTGTGCATTATTCACAGTGGCTGCATCAAAGAGGGCGACGCCACTCGGCGGCCAGTCCGTGGCTTGACCTAAAGGCATGAAGAAATTGACTGAGAGACTTGGTCAGGTTGGTGCGTGCGTTTTCATGCATGGGGGCCACAATATTATCCGCACCATTAGTTGGAGACCGTATCAGATATGGCGCAGTCGTGCAATCAGTGGCATGCTTACACACAGTTTCTTGCATCTGGTTGTTAGTTTACGTTCCATTCTGATTAGTTTAACGTACTTCATTCTTCCTTTTTCTTCACATCCTTTTTGCACTCAACATCGCTGTCTTGCTCTTGATATTTATTTTTATTTTTGCAAGGTGAGTCGTGGCAATTGGATCCACCTCACTTCGCTGATCGGATATAAGTTGATCAAATCAACTGAAATTGTTGCACCTTATTCCTGCTATATAAATCGCACACGTGTTTCCAAATGTTTGACGGTTATCTGGATGCGACGCACTATTTTAAGCTCATCGAGAGCTTACTTGTGTGTCCGAATTTGATACTAACAGGCAACCTGAGTCCTTTTCATCGCTGCCACACCACAAGTTTCATACTTGTACCAGCTTCCCCATGAACAATCTCGATTAATAGCCAAACACAAATTTCAGAAAAATTGTGTATGTCGACGTTTGTTGGAACTTCGTTGAGACAGCTAAAAACGAATATTTAGCCATCAGTTAGTAATTATACCGACAATATTTTTTATGTATTCTTTGTAGGACGTGAATGTTCAGAAAATCAAAATGGGCTTGTCGGCCAGTGCCACTGAAGAACATTTAGCGCAGTTGGCAATCGCCACACTCGATGAGTTCATCCTCGATTGTGGGTGAGTTGTTTTCTATGTCCTTTGGACACACAGAAACGATTTCATCTTTTCCATGTCGTGGCTTTTGGTTTATGATGTGCTTATCCCCGGCTTGTTTAATCTGTTAGCAGATTTCCTGCAGACCATCTCAGTGGACCGTTCGGCTAGGAAAGACTAGCTTGTTGTATCGATGAGGTCGGACAGGTTATCATAGTTGGTTACGACGGTCCTTTCTTTAGGACATTCTGCGTAACACATGAATCGGAACGCTAGTGCCGCGTGATCGCTGCAGCCCTAAGGAGTGCACATTGTTACTACACGTGTTCAAGATGGCCACCTTAGTTTTCTGTCCTGAAACTGGTTGGAGTGGTGACATGGTTGAACAGCGGTGAACCAGCGATTAGCTGTTGCAGTACTGCGTTGAATCGCTCACTGAATGTTGCCGTGGTATCTAGGGTATTCAGGTCAAAGTCCCTTAATATGAGAACGTTGCTGTAAAATTGTGCCAGTAGTTTATCTCCAGCGGAGGCTTGAACGTTGTCCATTTCTTATGTGGACATTGGTGGTCGGTAACCAATTGCCACTAAGTGTAAATCGCTCCGCTTTAGATGTACACGTCACCAAAACGAACCTACGGTTTAAGCTTCTGATACGTTTACGCGGTCGATAAGTAGGTAGTAAAGAAGTACACAACTTACCCTAATGGGTCGCTCATTGTGCTAGTGTGTCATATCAGGTATTGAGACCCCGGCGTCCGTAATCACGTCGTTCAGCCATGTTCGGTTGCTCTGATGAGGTTCCAAGTCATTGAGGCTTGGCGCGATCGAACCTCGGCCAATCTACAGAGAAGGCCTTTCGAGTTTGTATAAAAACAGCTGAGAGCAATCGCGTTTGTATACAAAGATTTGAGAACTATGGAAGCGTATCTGAACACACAAAGGTTTCCCGCGAATTTACGCCGATCCTGTGGGGTCGTCTGAGAAGCTTTTTGGTGTATTTCTGGACTATATCCCGGGGCCGCTTCAGGCTGTTACGTAGAGCACCCAGTACTTGGTCCTTCAGGGGAAAGCTGCAGGGATCGCCGGTACCTTCCTCTTCTGACGGCTGAGGGGTTGCATTGTGCTCCGGTCCGGAAATACAAACAGTTGGGTCCCCGAGAAAAGCTCGCTGGTTTTGTGCGCCCTCAACCAATGGTAACCTGGCTTCCATCGTCTTCAGATGTATTTCTGACCAGTGTAGTGGGTAATTCGTGCCAACTTCCGAGCACCGTTTGAACATTGGTTTGGAGTGCAGCAGGAGTTCCGATACCATTAGATCACAGACTTTGTAGTTGTGCGACCTTGGTACGTTTGACGTTAAGTTGGTACTCACGTCGTGAAGAGAAAGGACTTCGCGGATGTAGCACCGCTCTCCTAAGACTTGCGACTCGTCCGAAGACTTGCTTTCGGGCATACCATGGTAAGGGATTGATATTTCGTTCTTTTGCTTGTGACATTTTATCCTGGGTTTTGCTTCCTTTGCCGACCCTCAATCCGAGAGATGTCAGGGAATATACGGACGTCGCATGACGAATCACGAAGATAGCGAGCTGACAAGAGGGCAATCTCCGCTTCGTCACTCAATTTAAATGTTACCTGAAGTAGCCTTGGTCTACCTTATTGTGCGGAGTTTGAGTAGCAGACGATGTTTAGCCTGGATTCTCATAGCTTGGAACATGGATTTTCATTGTTTAAGGTCGTCCAGTAGTCTGTCTTTGATAAAGCTTGCCTTTAGCTCAGACACGGTAGAACATAATAGTTTCATCAAATTCTGTATTCTCCTAGTCTTCACAATTTGGATAATATTGTTTCCTTTCTCTGGCGGCTTGGTAGACGGCATTTTCGGAGGCGCATTGGTGTTCGTGTCATTTCTATCGCTCTTGTGGTTTGCTTCAGACGTGACCGCTGACTTCACTTTTGGTCTTCATTCAGCAACGACGGATGCGCATGTTGTCAAGCTTTTGCTAGTGTTCAATAAAACCGCATACAAAGTAGCATCATTTGACATAGGCACACCCGCAGGAACAATTACTTTCTACAATAGTGGGGTCACCTGGTTTGCAGATCCCGGTAAACCACCTGTATGGTAGTTCTCGTCATTGGGGGTGTTGGCTCTACGCTATTAACTATACGCTTGTTTTGACTGCTCTGTTCCAAGGCTGAGCTTAAGTTTGGGCAACGGCATTCGAGTTCTGCTGCAGCTGGTTCCGATGCGGCCACTACCTCAGCCGTAGCACGCTGCACAATTTTGTCAGTTTGTCTCATTTTTGTGCCAGCTGGCGATGTGCCTTACGCGGGGTTTCATCGTACACCTGTACAGAACTAAATGGTCCCCGGTGTGCACTGGCATTCCTTCACTTTCGCTGCACTCAAGTTTACCCCCATGGACGGGATTTCTTACTGCAGTTACTACATAGTATTCCAATTCGAATAGTCTTGGAGCGCATTGTAGTACCGCAAAGAGCCTTCGTCTGCGGCTGCATGGACCGTGTACACCATGTTTTCCGTGTTGTTATGTTGCGGACTATACCGAGGCGCCAGCCACGTGGGTAGACTGCGATGGCCTTTTCGTAACCGGCGTTCAGCGCACCGAGCGTGTTGAGACAAGCACATGCTGTCAGTTAACAATATCCTACGCATAAGTAGAATTTCACCACACATACTCTCAGTCAAGCAGCAAGCACATGCCCAGAAAAGCACTATATGGTCGTTTCATCCTTTTGGTAATCGTCGGCACTGCGCACTTCATCTGACAGTTTTGAGACTCGAACCCGCACCGCAACTGTTGCTAGCCTGCGGTTGAAACTACTGAAGTTGGTTGATGACAACTACCGTCGTGACTAGGTTATTATGTGTGCTATGGAGCAGTACCGTGCAGATCATTGGATGGTGAGCGAAGCTACAGCACATCTACTTACCTAGGCACGACGGCTGTTGCCGTCCAACATAGCTTAGTGGTTTAAATCACAGACTGCCAAAGTTGAGGTGCGGGTTCGAGCGCCACGCTGATCAGGTGGAATGCGCACTGCTGACGATGCCCAAAGGTCTGAAATGGCCGTAAAGGGATTTTCCGGGCGGGTGATGGCTGCTTGACTGAGTCTAGGTGTGATGAATTACTTCCTATACCGTTCAACTCCTCCTCCTACTTCCCTGCAAATTATCAATGGAAAAGTTAAAAGTTGTAAGTTAGGGGCCAATGTTATGTGTTAAGCCAGACGAAAACAGAAGAACAGAGCTGTGTGTTATTTGCGTAACAGTCAGTCTCAAAAATATCGCAACTGGATGTGCGAGGCACGGGAGGTCACCTGCACACAGAATCCAAATCATCCATCAATAATTACGGCAGACGGACGCACGCGTTAGCGTCCTGGCATGCACATTATTTGGGTTCACTGATCCATTCGTTAGGAGGTGCTCCTCCTGACACCTCGTTTGAAAGTCCACTGACATATGATTTCAGCTTGGGGTTAACCAGGAGCGGCGTAACAGGAACTCGGCAATTATCGGGCCATTTGGGGGGAATGAGAGGTTGTTGGATTGATGGGCTTATCTTGTTGAGTAGCCTCTGTTTTGATAGTTTAAACTCGTCCAGAATTAATTCAAGGGGCGTAGTTAAGGCATCTTCTGTCAAATGAGATGTCGCACCTGAGTTGATTGGTGTAGCGGATCCATCTGTCATCGCCTACGGCCACTTCATAACACGCATGGCCATATCTTTTTACAACCATTCCAGGGATTGTTCCGATAGTCTGTTGCCAACACATTCTTTCCAAATTCAAATTGGCATGGTATAGCGCGATGCCTTCGGTTGCACTGGTGCTCCGTTATTCAGTTTCTTTTGGCATTGGGTCTATCCGGCGGTCTTATTAGATCAAATTTCGTTCGAGGCCTTCTGAGCAGGAGTTATTCTGCTAGGGACTTCCCTTCAGGCGTCTGTGGATTAGGCATAATCCTCTACGTTAACAGAAAAATTTGTAAGACCTCTTAGATTGGTCCGTCCCCTTCCGCTTTGAGCAGAGCCTTCTTGAAAGTATCCACAAATGGTTCAGCCTGCCCATTTGATTGTGGATGATAAGGAGGTGAGCGCAAGTGCGGCATGCCGTCTACCGCACAGAATTCAGCAAAATGTGAAGAGGTAAATTGGGGTTCATCGTCGGATATTACTGTTTCCGGAATACAGAACCTACTGAATACTTTCTTGAAGACTGTAATCGTAGCCGACGTTAATGTGCGTGGGTCCCTGTCCCACCCAATCCAAGTCGAATGTGGTGTACCACAAGGATCAGTACTGGGGCCACGATTGTTTTTGATGTATATTGACGACATAGCGGCCCTCATTCTTTCCAACGGTCTACTCTATGCCGACGACATCAAGGTCTGGAGAGCGATCAATACACCAGACGACTCCGCAATACTTCAAGAGGATCTGGATAAGGTGTATGCGTGGTCAGTTCAGAACCAACTCCCATTCAACACAGAACAATGCAGAGTATTACACTTACGTCACCAATCAGCTTTTTTCTATAAACTGGGTGACCATGTGCTTCACACAACTGCTGAGGAAAAGGACTTAGGAGTCTTGATTCAGTCCGAGCTTGGTTGTTCAGCCCAGGCAAAAAAAGCATCGAACGCGAGCATTCGAAATTTGGGCCTTCTCAGACGCACATTTGGACGCTTCGATCCATCCGATTTTCATCAACTTCTAGGTGCATACATACGACCACACGTGGAGTATGCAATACAAGTCTGGCAGCCGTGGCTGAGGAAAGACCTCTCTGATTTAGAGAAACCTCAACGACGCGCAACGAAGAACGTGAAAGGTTTAGGCCAGTTACGCTACGAAGACAGACTGAGATCGCTCGGGATATTTAGTGGTCAATATCGACGACTACGGGGAGATTTGATTTTGGCTTATCAGATTCTGACAGACCCCAATCATACCTGCCGCCATCTGCTGGAGCTAAGTAACAACAACAACCTGAG